AAATCGGCTTAATTGTGGCGCGCTATAACGTGACATTTCGCCGGCATGTCTATTTCTGTGCCTTTGTAGACTATTTATGGATCCACGCTAATAATTGACGTGTATTCTCGTACGCATGTATTCTTCTATAGTTATACCATTCTATTAAAATTAGTAACGGAATCTATAAAAATCGCTTTCGCACAAATTAATACGAAGGTAGAAAATGAAATATTTGCACTCGAAAAGAGAGAAGGTAAGAAATTATTTACGATTTTAATAGAGCTACAAATAAGAAATTTTAATAAAATTTTAACAAAACTATAGCCAACTCTGATAAACTGGTGAATGATGTTAAGTACGCTGAGAGAAAAGTGCACTTAATTTTAATAAATATTTATTTGAATAATGCCGGTTACTAAAATGTAAACATATATTTATTTAATACAAGAGAGACATTAATTGGCTTAACTATTATATTTTTTATTTATATATTATATATAAATATTTATTTTCCTTAAAAAATGTTATATTTATTTTCCATAAAAAAATGTTATATTAGTACTATTCAAACAATTCAAATTTAATACATTCTTCTTTTAACGTAAATTGTAATTTTGCATAATTCACGAAAAGTATTATCATATGTCATATACTTATCAGTGAAAAATATAAAAAAGCCCATCAAAAGCCATCAGAGCCTACATCGGCTGTCCGGACAGAAAACTCTTTATTCTCATATGAATGTAACAAAATGCATTAAATAGATGTTTCAATCCTTTAATTTCGATCCATTAAATTGCCAGATTTGATGTAAGAGTTTCTCGCGACTCGACGTAAAGATCTTGTCGACCGTCAAAGTTGAAAATTGATTTGAAATCTGACAAAAAAAATTTGATGAGCGATGTGACTTTATCTATCGACGCAATGTATACGACATTATTTATTTTTATTTTATTGAATTGGCATTTGGATAAAGAAGAACGAGCTAAATTATCGGGATTCATAAATTTGAAATTTGCGTTACTTATATAATTTAGACTTATATTTTATATTGATAAGAACCCAAATTAAAGGGTTGAAACATCTATTTAATTTGTATTGTTACATTCGCACGAGAATAAAGAGTTTTCTGTACAGCCGATGTAGGCTCTGATGGGCTTTTTTATATTTTTCACTGATAGATTCTTTCGACCCTCATTTTATTTATTTGTTCACACACTTATATCTCGAATCTCGGCAAAAATAAAAAAACTCCATCTATGTATGTGAAAGTGTTTAATTCATTCCAATAACTTACACACGATTAACTCGTTTTAGCATAATGCCATGCAATCAGTGGCGCAGTCTGGGAATGAGAGGGCTAGTTACCATTCTATCTATCTCTCGTCCTGGATAAATCTCAAGTATAATCAACGAACGGAATCGATAGGCTTCGTTGTGGTGGTGGTCTTCGTTCTCGCAGTATAGTCACGGGGCCGCGAACGTGAAGCGGTGCCTTCTTATGCAATAATTTTTCCGAACAAATGCGGTCGGTCGGTCGATCGGTGACGGCCGGCGAATAATGGGGACAGTGAAAGGTCCGAAAGAGAAACATCATAAAGAGTAAGAGAGAGAGAGAGAGAGAGAGAGAGAGAGAGAGAGGCTGCGCGTAAGACCGAACGTCACGTTTGCCGAACATGTGATCGAGGACCTTTTTTCCTACCCGCGACCGGTTGATCGCGAATTCGAATTGCGTGACTGACTTAGTTTATATTACTGAATATGCCGTTTTACATAAAAAGGTTTTACCGAAGTATCTAAAAATTTTGTTAAATACAGATCTACAAATAATTTTATTGCATCTTCAAAATAATTATGCAGAATTTTCAAACTTGATAATTTTTACGATAATACCGTAAAATATATTTTGACATTCTAGCAATCAGAGTGTGAACGTTCTACATACTTAATTATTTTGATGGTCCAACAAAATTATTTTTAGATTATGATATCTAATCAAATTTTTAGATACTTCAGCACAATGTCAATTCTTTCTAAGAACGAGTTGTGTAATGTACAAATCGAAGTAATGTGCAGCACATTCACTCGTTTGTTCATCACTCTTATATATAGACTTAGTGATATAATTCTTACAGATGTTTGGTTCTAATTATTAACTTTGTAATTTATATAATTTATACCATGCATTTATACCGAAAGAATGATTTTACTGAAATATTACCTAAACAGATATTATATATAAATTTAAAAATAATTTTGTTGGATTATCAAAACAATTATGAATTTCCTATGTAATTATTTTATCTAACAGAATTATTTTCAAATCTGTAATATATATGTATCTATCTAAATTTTTAGATACCCCAACAAAAAATGCAAGTATTAATTTAAGTTAAATTCAATTTAAAGCAAAATCAAAAATTGTAAAAATCGCTCTAATTTTGGACGTTGCGGATTACTTATGAGTTAAGGCATTTCCGATGCTGACGTCGTGTATAGTTTGTGTCAATTAAGCGATTAGTATAAACTAGGCCGCTTTCCCGAGTGGCCGAGGCCGTTCCGAGATTACTGTGCCGTGCGATTTTGCAATCATTTCGCACGTTGCATGTGCACGTTATCGAGTGGAATGGAAGGAATCTCAACTAGGATTTTTACCCGCCGATCGCAAAATTCGATTGTCATAGTGCCCATATTAAATTATATACAGACTGAGATTGAATTTAATCAATCAAAAGAAAGAAAGTTAATATGTGATTAATTTAATAAATTTTGCTTTAATTGATCAAATTCAATCTTAATCTCAATCTCAATCTTTAGAGTAAAAATGCAAGAATTTGCATTTTTTCGCATTTGCCACAGTTTTTATTATCGTTATGTCACGAAATTCACTATCGCTTTATCATCATGAGCATAATCAACACCTTGCACGTGGAGAGCATGAGATCTGCGTATTTCCTTTTTTCCCCCGGACTTCTGGCATTTACAATCTTCTCCGTTTAACTGACATTTGCATTCGTCATTCATATTTACTTCTCATTATTATTGCGAATTTCCACTTGGAATCAATTGGCATTAGGCTTGTTTTTTTTATCTGAACTTCTTGCATGATTTATCTTCTTTTTTCTCTATGGAGAGGAAAGAAAGAAAAATTAATTGTATACGGAAAGTTTTGTTGAAGTTTTAAAAATTTAGCTAGACAGATCTGAAAATAATTTTGTTGGACCATCAAAATAATTATGTAAAAATCTCAAGTAGAGAGAGGTTCACTTGTACATTGTAGTAATTGTCCACTGTTAATCATAGCGATTACTACGTAGGGAATTTTTAAAATTTTTTGTCTAGCTTTGGACTTGTGCACAATTGGCTTGTGTCTAATTGATATATACTCTCTCAAATATGATGACAATACAAACGCTTTGACACTTTAGCAGCTAGTTAGACCGGAACGGACGTACAATAAAATAATCTGCAAATTGAGCGGAAGTGTTTGTAATTATATATGTCGAAGGTGGTAATGCAAGTCAACTTGCAGTGATTAATTATCAATGGCTGCGTTCAGCAGAAAAAGCAGCTTTGCAACTGTTGTAAAATTTTTTAATATGATTGATCTTGCCCTTAGTTTCTTATTGGATCTATAAATGTATAAATCAATCATATTTAAGAATTTTATAACGGTTGCAAAACTACTTTTTCTGCTGAATGCAGCCATTGGTGCAATGGAAAAAGACTATCTTTCTAAGGGTCGTTTTTAAGAACAAATTAAATTCTTATCATTTTGTTATCTGTTGCAGCAGCGACAGCTCGATTTCGAGGAACAGCAATCGCTCCGAGAGCAGCGGTTACTGCGGTAGACGTCCTTCGACCTTCGCATCCAGGTAACTCGATTATTATTTATTAAAATATCGCAGACTTCGAATTTATGAATTCTTTTATGTCTCTGCAAGACAAACTGTGCAGATTTTTTGTAAAGACTATCGAAATCGGAGAAGGATACAAATGATAAAATACGGTTGCAATATGAATTTAAGTGTTGGATTGAAATTAATTGAAATTAATCTGCCATTAATTGTATATAACTCCCGGATTGAATGAATGGAGCGTACAAAACGTGACACGGAACCATTTAATAACGTGGGGCTATTTAGGGCACGAACGGATTTATCTCTTTGAATAACAATCTCCTGGCAGTTTGGTCGACTAGATTGCAAATAACTGAATGTATTTAGCGCAGCTGATTTATAAGAAATATATCACCATTGTATGATTTCTTTAAACTGAGGCTGCATTCCGTTGCACGCATAATGCGCTTAAGGTGTCATTTTGTGTTACCTTATTGTTGTTCACAGAATGTTAAACACAGATAAAATAGTACACGTTGTAAATTGTTCAACTCAACTTGTTTTAATTCAATTAACAACATATTGAGTAGAAGCAGTGGC